TGGGCTGTTAAGAGCTGGAGTCACTTTGGTGATGATTTCTATTTTTCTCAGACTCAGGCTCGAAATTATTTGTATTACCATGTGAGTAACAAGAATTATGCACATTAAAATTAGATATAACATAAGGAGATGATGTTTGAAAAAATGAGTTTGTGGCTGAACGGAAGTAACAATCACAAAGATCTTGATCGATTACCAACTTGTGAGGAAAAAAAACACTCTAAACTATTAAAGTTATATGTATACAATGTAACCCACAAGATGTGATACGTTAAAATTGAAAACCAAAAATAAGCCTGAGCTAATTTTCTCTAGATCTTCTCAATGTTGATTTTTCTTCCATATGAATCCTAATTTAAAAAAAAAAAAAAAAAAAAAAAAAAAAAAACACCAATCACTTACACTCACAGACTATATACACAGACATTATATATATATATATATATATATATATATATATATATATATATATATATATATATATATATATATATATATATATATATACTGTTGATTGAAATTGTACTACAAGAGCACGCATCTTGGAGCATTCCTCTACCGGAGTCTATTGTTTCCTGGTGTGTGGTACATACTGGGAACTGTGTCTGTCCCTTTAACCCCGGCTGGAGATGGGAGTTTGGTCCTGCCGTAAATCTTTGTGATTAAAGCCAGCTCTTCTGTCTGCTCTTTTCATGTGGGACTTCCCAATGTGTGTCTGCTGTCAGCTGAAAGACGCTCCCACACTGTTGAAATAATAAAAAAGACTTCCAATAGTCATGGAAACCAGCCCCCTCTGTCCCCAGCACACAGGGCAATACAAATCTGGGAACGTATGAACTGGCTACTAGTGGGATGCTGCCGTTTGGTCATTTCATGATGATATTTCCAATAATCAGTATTGTGTTGTCATTCAATGGAGTTTTTCCTCTGCATTTAAATGTTAACAGAAGAATAAGAAATCTCTGAATTATGTAAATTATAAACTGTAATCATACATTTTATATGGAACAGACTTCAGGCCCCATAATTCAATCTCAATTTGTATGTAAATTGAAATTATAAATGGGCTATAATATATGACGTTGACTAGACTTCAACAAAAAATTCTCAATACTAATAATAACAATAATGCATCGGTTTTTTATAGCAATTTTTTTGGACACTCAAAGACGCGTCACATGTCATTATTCTTTCACTCCATACACGGTGGTGATAAACTACTCTTTGTAGCCACAGCTGCCCTGAGGCACACTGACAGAAGCAAGGCAACCAGATGTGCAATCGGCCCCTCCGACCACCACCACCAATCACTCACACACACATACTCATTCTAGGCAATGGGGGTGACGAGTCTTGCCAAAAGGCACAACGGCAGTTTGGCACTTTTTAAGCATATATGACATGTTTTATAATTATTTTTATGTTTTTACCACACAATGTGAGGAAAAGCCGTGGGTTTTGAATTAATGTCGCTTCCTCAAACAAAGAAAAAATAGCCGAATTGGGAGGAAATTTGAAAAAATAAATACAAATAAATACAATAAATACAAATTTTCGAAGATATATAAATTGTCTATCAATATTATTCCACCTTCGCATTTCTTTGTTGCAACATTTATGCACTCTGGAGCCAACTTGGCAACGTCTGTAATGAGGCCATTTTTCATTGTTTGTCAGAAGTAATATGCACACAGCTGTACATGCAGTACACACACACACACACACACACACACACACACCCGTAAGAGCCCCTGGTGTCCCCCTGCCTGCAGCGCTGCCCCCTGTCACAGATGGCGTGAAAAACCTTCAGGCTGCTTCACTTCACACTGTCAACACTGACCAGGTGCCATTGATATAAATGTTGTTTCTCATTTTAGACAAGATTGGAGCTTCATAAACAGTCAGCATTGACACTGAAGTTTGGTCCATCATGACTGGGGATCAAATATTTTGTACTTTTTGCAACTGATACAGATAACATATTTTTGTGTATGAAACAGAGTAAAATTAAAATGGTAGTCGGGATAATGTTTGACAAAAGGTGGCTGAATGAGACATAAAAATTGCTGATTTAATCGGAAAAAACAAGCAACACATAAATCGGCTGGTCCATAGTTGATGTGGCTAAATTCTTCATTCTCGTAAAGGAAGCTAAAAGATGTGAAGATCTACAATCATTAGTTATTGTGCTGTTAATATGTCTACATCATGTTTGATATTCAACCTACTAAAGTGCACGTTTGTCTTGATTTAATTATACACTGCTTGGATCATGTTGTTTATCGTTTTTATTTGTGTTTTTAACAACATGGGCAATAAAGAGGAAACATAACAGATTAGCAGATGCTTGTGTTGTTAATTACTCAACCATTTCCAACACAGGGGACCCATATATTCATTCGAGCCAAAGGGGTCACGTATGTTGTCCTTTTAACCACATTCACCCAAAAATATGTCAGAATAAGGACATGGTTGGACAGGTCCCAGTGGATTCATAAATAGAAAACCCTATTAGTAGCACAATAAGATTAATGAAATGGTAAATTGGGGACTGGTTTGGTCAGTAGTGGCTATAACACATTTTGGATGGCACAGTGGCACAGTGGTTAGCACTTGTGCTTCACAACAAGAAGGTCCAGGGCGGGGTTTCTTCCAGGGGATCAGGTTTCCCCATACCACTCAAAAGATGTACCTAATTTCTGGATGAATGTGTGTTTGTGAGTGTGGGTGTGCTCACACGAGCCTTAGGCTAATTTCCAATGCATGGCAATTAGCCTAAGGCTACAATAGATGTAGCATTTTAATTTTTTATTTATTTAGACTTTATTTAGATATCCATCAGATAAATATTTTTTTAGCAGTCTAGCAGTGAAATAGCAGTGTAAATAACATACATAATATGGCACCTGTGCTCCAACATAAATTCTACAACATGAATGCAACCTATGGCAAATGTAGTTTCTGGAGAGTCCTTTGCGTCTCCATGGTGATGTGTCATCCCTTCCCCCGTCGCTCTTTAAGGCTGGATGATGAAGCACTTTGAGATGAGTGCGTTAATAATGCATATTTCTGATTCCCTTTTGACCTTGATTTCACTGACTGGAGTTTTTACTCTTTTTTCTGTCACAGTTGGGTTTTTCCGATATCTTGTGTGTGCTGCTGTCTTTGTTCAATGCACACACACACACACACACACACACACACACACACACACACACACACACACACGCACACGCACACGCACACGCACACATACACACTAGACTGAATGTGTATTACCCAAGTCACCTTTCTACTTTCATTGTTTATTACATTAGCTTTATGGGCCATCATGCGCTGCTATTGCCACTCTTTCTTCACTTTTTACACATTATTATTATAATTATAATAATACATAATTATATCCTGCACAGACTATATTTTTTTAACTTTTAACATGTTTGTACACTTCTGTCTTTTTGCACAATTTGAATAACTATCCATGCCAAATGTGACATGTACATTTCTCCAGTGTGAGATCAATAAAGTCTATCTCATCTTATGGATAGTGTATAGAGTTAGGGTATAGATGTACCATCCATCAAGGCTGAATGATTTTGGCCAAAAATCTAATTGTGTTTTTACAAAAAAATTGCGATTACACTTGATTTTTAAAGAATAGTTTTAATAATTGGGTTCTATTCAAAGCACACAATCTAATAAGAGCAGTACTTTTTTTGCACAGAAAGTCTAGATGTACGTGTGAGCCCCTTGAGATGTATTATCTCCTTTTCGAGGACGATACATCTAAGCTATAGATTTTTTCCCCTTCATACATTACTTTTGATGGTGTGCCTCTTTGGGATCCTAAAAATAGATGATCTAATTGTAAGCTTTTTTTGTCAATCATTTCATAATTCCTTTTTTTGTGGCCACCAAAATTGCTATTTTGATTCGGTCATTTCTCAGACATTCTTATCACTGAGATTTCATGCTACAGACTTTTTCAGAATGGAGTGTGGAGTGGACAAAAGGAGAAAAACAGAGCAAAAACAGAAACAAATATCTAAGAAAGTCTCTGCAAACGTATTGAAAGCCAGACTGCGGTGTAGAAAGTCTCCTATGGGGCATAAGCTCTTCACCCATGTGTAATATTACTGCAGACTTATTCTTATCCACAAACAATAACACAATAATATTACATGTCTTACTTTAAACCCAGGATAGTTAACCCTTTACACTATACTGCTGAGAAAACGCTTTAAATGTATGAACTGGCAGCTCCTCTTTGTCTGCGTGCGCTGGTTTCGTTTATGTGGGCTGAATGGAGTGTCCCTGTGGAGATTAAAATAATGCATTCATGGGCACGTGGGGGAAGCCTGCTGGAGGGAGGGACTCAGCCTGAGCGCGTGTGGCCAGTTAACCTTTCATATGTGCGCCCCACTGCAGCCCGAGGTGAAAGAATAAAACGGTGGCTTTTTTGTGAGTTGATGGATTGATTGAAGACCTTGTGTTGTGCAGGGATCAGTATTTAGTGTCTATTCCCTATGTTCGATGCAATGAAATATGCGTGTTGTAAAGGAAACATGCGCTCAGATGATTCTGTTGTTTAACGAAGTGTGTGTGTTTGATGGAAAACTGTTTTGAATAATGAATTGTATTTCTCATTGTTGTTTTCATTTTCTTAAGACTTTTTTCTTGCACTATGCAATATGAAAAGTGCCAGAAAACAACAAATCCGTTGCATTGTTTATTCAGTATTGAAATTTTGTATTTAAAGGTGTGTATAGGGGGATTTTCTTCTTCTGGGTGGATCATCAAGACTATCGATCCTCCCAATTGTCAATCATTCTTTTGATACTTACTTGTCAAATAAGACCAGAGATTTTTATTCAAAAAGTGGAGAGGGCAGTTCTATCCTAAAATTTGGGAGAATGCTCTTATATATAAAGGTATATATACCTTTAAGATCCTGGTCTCTTTAAATGCATTCAATTTCATAGCTTTTTTATTTTTTGCAGGTTTGATTCTACATTTGAAAAGAGTGGCTACAACCTGCTCATCTCAGGTAAAGATGTTTAGCCTCTTTGTATGGTCTGTTTGTAAGTTTTAGATTTAATGAATCACTTCATATGAAGTAGGGTTGTCAATCGCCATAAGAAATCAATCGCCATACATATATACAGCTATATCCAGGTTTTATTGAATGCGTCAATACCCCTTTTTCAAAACCAATATGAGTACAAGTAGCTTAATTTGAGTACTTTCCCATATCAAATACCAATACTGCATTGTGTTATTCCCGGGAATTCATAAAACTAATACAACTGAAATATAAAATGTTTTGTTTCTCATTTAAACATTAAGAAAATGCATTAACAATTAAACATTTTAGCAATCGTTTTAACATTCAACAATTAGAGCTACTGTCATTCCACTCATACACATGCTATGTTGTAGCTAGATTTGGTTGCTTTTGTGCTTCGGTGCTAGCAAAGGTGTTATACTCTGCATAGTGGTGAGTTTAGATGTTTGATTAAGTTGCTGGTGTTTGTTTTGAACCCTCGTGACAGTGTTGCCTTACACAACGTACAGTCCGCTTTACCCTTACTCTCACTCTTACTTAAAAAAAAACGTCTATACGGCCGAGATCTGTCCGCTTGCTGCTAAGCTAGCGGCTAAGATAAGCTGCTGCTTAGATAGCAGCAAGTGCTTTCTTGCTTCCAACGTTGGGAGATCACCGTGGCACAAGCCACTGATTTGAATAGGACGTGATCTTGGATCTGTACACAGCGCATTGCGTGCACACGCCTCCTCCTTAATCTTTCCATGCAGGTCTAAAAAATTTGCCTTATTAAAATGGTTCCAAAAAAGCGGGTCTGCAGTGTGAATATGGCTATAGTTACTTTATGCAATTAAACTTATTGCTGGGCATATAGTGTAATAATAATGAATAAGTTATATTTTCTCTGATTTTACTGCTTTTGGTAATTGTATGGTTTTTCATTTTGAAAAACTCTTAATTATTTTGCAGTATTTTTTACCTCATAAGAAAATGGAGCATGTTTGTGTTGTAGCTATATTATTTAAAACACAAGACCAGTGAGATAATGAGTGATGAGTCGGCCGTTGACTGACCTGTGTGGGCCACATAAGCTGAAGCAGGACCTTGGCTCATATCAAGATCATATCTGTGTACTGCTGTAAATCGCCAAGGCTCCTGGGCCATTGGGGGGTGATTGAGATGGGGCATAGCATGGCATCTAGGGCTGGATCCAAAGGTTAGGAGGTTACATTGATGTAGGTGCACAGGTCAATCCATTATTCACCCTCTGTACAAACATATAATGCAGCTGTCCAACAAGCAGTCTGCAGGAACGTATCATTATCTGGCCTTTGTCTGCCTCAGAGTGTGCAATTAAGGCTGTCCTCACCTGCTGCCTACGCGATACCAGCTTATTTTAGATGCAAGAGGAGCTAATAAGACAAAGGTCACATGATTATGGGTTTGAGATGGCTACATGATGTGTTTGTGGCATATTATGGATACATTGTCATAGATTTCACAGTGATGGTCGCAGAATATCGTCACTGGTGATTGTGTGAAGACGCAGGTCCCAGCTCCAAAAGGTCCATGAGCACAGGCGCTGACATGCTTGCAATCTCACTCCTAGCCTGTGGGGGTGGACCCGGAAATAGAATTACCGATTGCTTTTTTATGGCGTCTTCTTTCCTCTCAAAAACGGCTTTACAGGATGGTCTCCTGGCCCAATGCGTGTCAATGCTGAGGGGAGTATTATTTTTGAACCAGTCTAGCTTTGCCTCTGTGGACTTTTGAATGCACCCGTTGAATAATGAATAATGAATGGGGATTGTGCCGGCTAACGCATGCGCAAATGTGTTGTGTAACATTTTCCTGCCTAGCGGCCATTTTGAAAAGGCCTCACAGAAGGCAAAAGTGATGCCACATTAGAGTGGAGATAGCCGTGACTACACCCGGTAATATTCACAGCTAATGGTATACAGTTAATCTTGGCAAAGAAACTAGTTTTCTATTTTAAAATTGTAACATCATATAGAGCTCTTTTGGATGATTCAAGCAAGGCTGCCCAGGACATTTACAGGAACTGGAGGATTTGAACACTGAACTAAAAGTAATGTACATTTTATGCAACATCCCTTTGTGCTGCATGAATCGCATTCACATAATAAGCTGCGTGATATCCCTCTTACTGTAAACCCTTAAATGTAATTATTAGTTTGAACATGCTGCACTGGACCAGAGCAGGATGAGCAGGATTACACAAGCAGCAGCAGCTACAGCAGCAGCAGCAGCAGAGCAGCCTCTCCTCCTCCGTTTGCCGGTCTCAGCGGTCTCTTGAGAGCACTCTGGGATATTGCAGTGGTTAATAATTTGAGTACTGAGTCATTATCACTGCAGTTTAGTGAAGACGAGGCCAGGACTATTCACCTACTCTTCTCAAACATATGGAGATGGATCAGTCTCCTTTGCTTTACATGACCTCAACTGGAGTCCACTTTAAATACATTTGAATATGTTGTATGATTATAATTGCATACTCCGATTACAAACTTTTGTTTTCAACATCTTCCAAACAGTACATTTAGCACATTTCCAAATTATATTGTGTTTTTTTTATATTTGTTGCTATCAGCTATAGCTCTGCCCTAGCTCCTCTATGTCAGCTTAATCCCAATGAGCAGATGGGTGGTGGAGGAGGAAACAGTTCTGTGCCAGCTCCATGGCTAGTTGCTTTCTCTTTGTCCCCCCCCCGTCTGGTCTTTCCCCATATCCCGTTAACATGTCAGCTGCCCTCCACCTGCCCCAACCTCTGCCCCCCTCAACCTCTGATGCCTCTGCTGTCACACCTCAGCCTATAGCCGGTTTCTTTGCCCATCTGTCATCTAACACATATTGAGCATATATACTGGCCTTTATTTATATACACTGTAGATTGGAGTGCTTTGATTATACAGCACATGTTCACTCTAAAGATTTATTTCCTTGTGTTACATTAGTTTACTTGTATTGATGATTGGAGGGAGTGACCACTGCACAAAACCTTCTCCAACATAGGGCTGGGCGATATGGCTGGTAAGTATATCACAATATAAGTGATTCATATCGGTCAATATCAATAATTATTGATCGTTTTTTTTAAAAACCTTAATAAATCCATTTGTTGTGTTGGCTAACACACATTAGCAGCACATATTTAGTCACAGGGCAATGACAACTCAGGCTGGAGGCATATGTTCACAAGCACAGTGTCCCCCATTGACAGTCCTGGTTTAGCTCCTGTTTTGGCCGTTTGAGTGTTTTCAGTGTCTCTGGCTGCGCTTGTGTCCCCGTGACGGCTCCGTGATTCCAGAGGAAAAAGTTTGTCTCTTGCTTTTGCCGCATGCATGGAGTCTCTGTGCACACTGCCTCTACCGTGCCGCACATGCTATCCCTCGCACGGACGTGCATTGACATGGCATTGAAACACGACAACTTTAGATCTACGGACGTAGCACATGGTCCGCTTGTTGATGTGAGTTTTTCTTTATTTGTTGCATTTCCCAGAATGCCCTGCGGTTCATGCTTGGCCGTGATAGGTCGAGAAGCCTCTGCCTACATACCCCAGAATGCCGCGCGCTTCTGAGTTGGCTTTACTTCCTGTTTTTACATCCTGTTTTTTTCTGACGGAGTTAAGTTAAACTATCGAACATTCTATCGACCCCATTTTCTATTGATATCGAACACATGTCTATTGCAATATAAATATATCGTTATCGTTTTATCGCCCAGCCCTACTCCAACACATCCCAGAATTTCAACAGTCTTAAGTGTAGGCCATTTACCCTGTTTTATGCTGTTGAGATAGCTTTTCTATGGATACATTTTTGGTGAATATTCCTAGTAGGTTGTCGTTGCACCAATCATCATCTCAATCATAATTTATACAATTTCTTTTTGTATTGGCTGGTTATTATGCATTGGTCCTTTAGGCGACAAAGTAGCAGAAAAACTACACAAGTAAGTTCTTGAACGTAAGATAAAGATAAAAACCCCCATTGTATTGAGATGCTGTCCACACTTTGTCACCAGTCGGGATTAAGGATACATGATGACACAAAAGCTAAAATGATAATATAGAATGTCATAATAGTTATAGAAAGAAAAATACAAATCATAGGTAAAATGGGTATAACCCTGTTGAACATGAAGTGCCTAATATTTCTCTGAATCATGTTTTACTGTATTTGAGAGTCACGCACCAAGGCCATGTGCATGTGTCCTCGTCAATGCTTTTACTGAGACAAAGCACCAGGAATCCCAATGAGCGCTGGCTAGTTACCAGGCCCAGGAGGGTGCTATGAGGACACTGTCTCTGTATTCACTACCACTATTGATTTTTTATTCAACCGGGCCACCACTTTTCACCCTCCTTTCTCACTCACACAAGGCAATGAGGATAGTGGCAATACTAGGGATAATTACCAAGTCTTGCCAATGTACAATAGATGTACTGATATAGCCTTTTAAATTGTTAAGTCTGCAAATCATCTGGTAAATCATCTGCAGTATACTCAGCACTGTCAGGTCAAGCCAGGGTTGAAAGGAATAGTGCATAATAGAGTCCCATAAGGGTTTGGTCTGTGGTCCGCGGCGTCTCCCCACTGTGTGACGGGATGACCCGAGACAGGCGTAACACAAACGCATTAGCACAAGCTGGGATTGTGTGCAGTGCCGACCTTAGAGTCTAGGGCTGATATTAGCCCAAATTACAATTATCAAGTCACACAAAAATATAGTTTGTTTAACATTCTGTGAATATATTTTTTGTCCATTCCAGATTTATTTTATTATGATTAATTTTGTCAAACATTATTTATTTCAAACATATGCATATTTTCAACATAAGATAGACAGAGCATTTACAGAAATACACACACACATACACACACACACACACACATTCATACATTCATACACACACAGAGATGGACATTGGGCGCGTACAGCTTTGGCAGCTTTGGTGGGGAAGAAAAGCGCTCAGAGAT